TAAAAAAAATTATACACAGTTTGATTTATGAAACATCTACAAATAAAGTCTGGTTGATTGATTGATACTTTACATGTTGATGCAGGGTGATATCTACAGCATGACTATAACCTGAATATAGTTGTATTCCCCTGTATTAATTATAACGCATTAATTATCTACACTACAGTTTACTTCATTTAAAGGTAGAGTAAACTTGGTTTACATTTTAGTTTTACTGTAAAATATTAACAGTGTAAAAGGAAAAGGAAAATAACAAAAAAATCTGCGTCCATCTTCTCCTCAGAGAATAACTTCAGCTGTGACAGTTGATAAAAACTATAAAATTATAAATAAGCATAATATAAATAAAAATATGTGCAAGATAACATTATGTAATTGTGTCCAATGTACATTTGCCATTTGTCCGGTGTGTCTAATGTGTGGTTGGATGTGTTTTATGCACAGGAACCTACAAGCTGAATGGCCTTGATGGGAAACTCTGCATCAAAGCGACCATGGGAGTGGAGTACATCGTCATCGAAAAGAAGGTTAGGGGTTGTGACCGGCTCAGCACTCTGTGTGTGTGATTTTCTAGTATTTCAGCACTTTTTACAGAATGTGTGTGTTTGTGTCAGCATCTCTTTGTTAGGTGTTACATGTTGGTTTCACTGTTCAAACTGTAGAAATCCAAAATGACCATCAGCTCTTTTTAAGTAAACGACGTGTGCTGATTCAGCTGACATATTTGAGTGTTAAAAAATAAATAAATACAGAAGAATCTTGTCTCTTGATATAAAGTGATATTTATCTCCTGTGTTTTCTGAAGACTTGGTATTTCAATCTGGACCCATCCAGGGTCAGGACCAGCGGTCACTGTGACAAAGACATTGCTGTTCTCTCTCTCACGCTGCCAAACAACGCTGCCAGTCTGCAGTTCAACTTCAGAAAGGTAGAAAGCACATTTAACATAAAACTCACATATTCATCTCTGTGTGAAGTTTGTATGTTCTCCCACAGTCCAGAGTTAAACCTCATAGCATATCCATCCTGTCTAGGGGAAACAACATATCACCATGTATCTCCAACTTCTTAAGTTAAATAAACTATTTAAAAAACCCTCTTGGTTGAGATGAAAAATGCACAAAGCTGAAAAATGCACAAAGTTTTCCTGAGTTCATGCATGAAAAGTTGAGATTAGTTAGAGATATGTTCTCACAAGATAGCAATGCTACAAACACATGATGTTCTCATAGAATATTATGTATTGCTGTTAATTAAACTACCAAACAGTATACAATATTTAAATAAGCTCAACTTTACATAACTGCAGCAGTGTTTTTACTTACTGAATTAATTTTGCTGGTAATACTTACAAGGATCTGAATACTTCTACCACCACTGCACGCAGGTTAGGTAAACTGGAAACCATTGTGACTCTGAATTGTAATCTGACTATATGTTCAGAGACATTTAACTGCAAATATTCCTGTAACGCACAAATAATCAGTTGTTCATTTATTTTTTTGTAATTTAATAAACATCTGTCTTTTTATTAACACCCACTCTAAAAGGAAAAGTGTGAATGCAAATGACACAAGTTTGCTTAGGTAGAATGTTACACAATATATATAATCGGCCTCTTACCAAACTGATTAAACTGGCATGTTGTAGTTCAATGCAGAAAACACACCAAGAGAAATCAGGAACAACAGCTCAGACACCAAAAGAAATAGGACAACAATTCAGATTTACATGAAAGCACCAAGATTAGTGCACATGTGCAGTTTGATGAAATGTTTAGAAATGAAGCCATTGTGAAAACAATAGAGATGAGACATGTTGGGTTCCATGTCATTCTCTTGTAGTTGACAAGACTTATCTGCAAAGACCAACAAAAAAATATTGTTTTTCATTGTTTGTTGAATTAGTTTTAAGAAAATGTCTCTTTCAATTCAAGAAATATAATAATATACGTATTATTAATATAAAACTTATATATGTCATAGGAACATAAGCGTCTGTGAGCCTTCATTTCTGGATCAAAACGTTCAACAAATTATGAAATTGTGTTTGTTTACTTGGAAAAAAGTGTATCTGTTTATAATTCAGTGATTTCTAAATCAACCTTAAACTCTGTATTTTCGTCACCAGGAAAAGAAACTTTTCTACGTCACCAAGCTGACTGTTCATGTGTCTCCTATGCCTGTCTGCCAAGGATGTGCCAGTAAGCCCACACAGAGAAAGAAAAAGAGAGAATAACACACAGCTGATCTGCAACAATAACCAGCAAACACTGAGAACTGTCCCCGTCTTACGTTCTCTTCCCTCTCAGATAAGACCTACTCTGGTTTGCTGGACCATGAGAAGCTTTTCGCAACAGCTGATGGGCAGAGCTTCAACTGCAAATCTGAGAATCTGCTTCTGACGTCGTCGCAGCTGCGGATCAAGCTGGTTCCTCTGCAGATGCAGGCCTTCACTCTGCCCAAAGGACAGTATGGAAAAGGTGACTGAGCTGATCACTTAGGGTTCAGTGAGGCAGGGGTAAATTAAAGTCTGCTCCACAAATTTAAATGAGTGTGTAGTTTTAATTTTATTAACTATAACCATATGAGAAGCTGCTGAAACCTTAATGAATAACATTGTTTTGGGAAGTCAAAATTCTCATTTAAAAAGCAAATCAACACAAATTGAAAAACATATAATTCTGGTTTGATTACTCACTTCGCCTTCAGATAAGCATAATGATTTTGTCTGTGCTTCCTCTATGGTGTTCAAACACAAATAAATTATAATGAATGCCAGTTTTGAAGGGTTTTTTATGCATAAAAATACAATATATTTTCTATAAATCTAGTTTTTGGCTTGTTTTCTGCAGCTGGCTCACTGATAGATATAGATTTGAGAGAATCTGTTAGCTTCAGCACTCATTTAGGGAATCAAAAGCTGTGATAAATCTTTATTTCTAAAAACAGGAAGCTATAAAACAATGCTTGCAATCCATGCTTTTATATCAGGCTTTATTGTCTTTGAGTCTGAATCTGCTGCAGAACACAAAGTCTCCTGAAACTAAAGCTAATGGTTTAGTGAAGCTGATTACACCATAAACAATGTCAGACAATAGCCTGGATCTAAAAGCACTGGAGCCATTTTATCTCTGCACTTCAGCTTAATAGGAACAATATACCTGAGTGGATTAAGTGGTTAATGAAACACATAAACAAGATTAAAGTTACTGGTGTGTGTGCAAACTTAACCAAACCTACAAACATATTTTCTGATTCTGTATAAATTAATGACATGACACTTTTGACACCTCATATTTCTGCTTAAATCAAGCTCCGTATTTGTCTTAAATCCTGATTATCCTTCTTCTTTCTGCCTTTTGCTCCTCCTGTCTCATGTTTCAGAGGTGGAGTGTTGGGCCGACTACAACAAACGAATTATTCCCATCATCATCGGGGCCGTAGTGGTGACTCTCGTTCTGATCATTGGGATGACCTGCCTGTTCATCAGAGACCGCAGCAGACAAGGATACGACCGGCTCTGAGCTCATCGTGAAGCTGGATGGAGATTTTAATCCATCTCAAACTATATTTCTATTACTGTTACAAAAAGTTCTCAAAATTCCTCTGCTTAACTTGGATTTTAGCTCCTGTACTTCTGTTCTAATGTCATACTAATGTCCAGTTTTCTTACTGTTAATGCATTGTTGTTAGATTGATTGATTTGACTATTCTGTTTTGTTTTTGTTTTTTGTTTTTTTCTCTTTCTTTCAGGGATAATTTGTGTATACTGCTGTTTGCTGTAATGTCCTGTTTTGTTGCATATTCAACAGTTGTTTAATAAAAGGGCAAAAAACGAATTATATAAGCAATAAAAAATTTGCCAGAGTAACAGTTTACTGTGGTTTATCGTAGTGTAACTCCTCAACTGGCTGGAATACTGCAGAATGAACAGCACAGTTGTTGAAGATCACACATCCTGATGATCAATGCAGAAGCCCCCAGAGTAAACTGGAACCAGAGACGGCTGCACCAAAATATAGATTTGATTAACAATGCATGAGAAGGCCTAAACGCAGGCCATAACAAAGGAATCGTGAGATAAATTGCATGGTTGATCAAACATCAAGTAGACAAAAAGAAAATACACAATGTGAGGATACACTGCACCACCAGGGAGGCTAGTGGGGGGTTATATATCTATATCATCAAACCATCCAATTACTCCTCCAGTCCTGCATGAAAACATCTGCATTTGTCATGTTTCTCCACTCATTCATTCAGGTTTTCTCATTTAATTTGTCCCCCGACTGTCTCTATCAGTGACTACAGCTGTAGTGACACATCTTGGTCACTAGAGGGAGCTGCTCATTCACCAACGAATGAGTTGGGTTTCTGTCCAAAGATCGTTTATTGTTTATTAAATAAGAATTTAAAAACATTTACAACATAAAAACATGAGTGAAATAAACACACAAATATATAGCAGGTAGATTTCTATGGAAATAATGTTGCCCATGAGGTTTATTTAGCCCCACAAAGAGATTAGATGTGGTTCATTTGATTTAAAGAAACCAAAGATGTTTTCAAAAGAATATCTTCTTTTTATTTTTTGTATTGTAATAGGATAGCGTCCCATTATAAATAACCTACCTTAGAGCAATTGGATACAACAGACCACAGACACACCCTCCCTTTAATGTATTATTACATTTTAGTCTTTCTTTCTTTAGCCCTGACAATGAATCTGTACTGTTTAACTCCATGGATCAGATTTTTTTATAAACGTATTTGTCTGTTTACTGTCAAGTGGCATTAAATGTAAGTGTTTATGGTAAAATCAATACTTTTATCCTTGTGATCTTTACACTATGATTATATATAAGATGATAAACTTGAAATTACGGGACAACAATAACCACAATGACAAAATAATAAAAAAATAAAACTGATTAAACTTTAGAGAATCAGTTCCAGCCATAAAATACCACAAATTTCTGTTTTTCTGGTTCCTTTCACAGTTATTTTTATTAGGCTACTGAATTAATTAATAATACCTGACAATAAATACATAGAAAAAAACAATATATATGTATGTATGTAATTTTTAAAAATATATATTTATTGTTTACAGTACACATTATCATTTTCAAACTCTGTTTTTATCGTATCATATCTATTTCTTTATTTCTAGCTGAAAACATTTGGATGACCACAACCAATAACAATTTTTTCAGGGCCACTGTGGTGCAGGGGGCCCCTGGTTTTTGGGGCGGCCCTGCTGACTCAGGCGGATGGAGAGAGGAAGGAGAAGAAGGAGGAGGAGGAAGAGATGCGGAAAATGAAAATGGACGAGCAGCAGCGGATGAAAATAGTGCCAAGAAGAAGAAATCTTTGGATC